TGTTTTCAGTCGGGAACGAGGATGACACGTGGTTTAATTGCAAAAAGGGGGAAAAAAAGTCTAACGTGAACTGACAACCTTTTACAGCATATTTGGATAATTCCTATAAAATGATCCTCCATAAACTCAAATGAAAAAAGACAAATTCTAATTGTTGTAAATTCTACAACAGATTCTAAGTCGTGATTGGTCAGTAACATTTTTAGGCGGGGCTCAGTGAAGGAAGTAAATGCAAATGCAAGCGCAAAGACGGCAACAAAATTATGATGCTTTATTTTTTTTTATATCATTCATTACTGATAAAATATAGATCATTAAAAATAATAAAAGACATTTAAATTTTATATATTTATTTCATTACAGTATTTCATTCCATACTGAAAAGTATAGATATTTTAGTGAATATTTTTCTGCACTAGATTATTTATTTTTTGCTTATTAGAGCATCTCTGTTAACTAAAGCCAGATTCATTAGTGGAGATTCTACAAATGTAAATTTCACTTCAGTCACTTACAGTATGAAGATCCTTTGAGAAATTACGCTCACTAGGTTTGGAAGAGAGCTTCTATCTACACTATATCTACAGTACAGGAGCCTGTTGTTTCTGCGCTAAATGACTAATTTACTTTCAGCTGGATGCCGGTGGTCAGATGCTATTACAGGAACAGGCAGTGTGAGATATTGGGTAAAACTCACATTGAAGGTGAGAGGGAGAGAGACAGACGAATGCGAGTGTGTCCCTGATAACAGCACCAAGGGCAGACTGACCTTATCGGCATTCATTCATCACACTGCACACACATGCACACTGACAGCAGCACTAGCTGCCTCATGTGTGTTTGTCATATAAAGGCTTTCAGCGAACGCAGCAACACCCTAAAGACGAGTCGGAGAACTTTCCCAAGCAGAGGAAGCCCATGTTTCCACTTATGCAACGTGATTATATGCGTCATATGTAAAGTGTAAATCCGGCTCACCACATTTAAACACATTCTGACACTGTAGGGAATCCCCATATTATGAATTAGTCTGGGATTTATAAACATACAGTTGCATATATAAACAAATGCCTCCTGCTGGCTAGCCACCAACCAACTGAATTATAAATAAAGCACATGGTTTATTTTGTCAGCGCTCTTCTGTCCTTTAAATGAACCGGACCTCATAAGCTCCTATACGGCTGTGTGTAGGACAAGCAAGATTTTGCCAAGTAGGATATGCTTCTGAATCCATATCCTTGGTCCAGAATGACTACCAAACAATACGATTTTAAGGGTTTGAATTGTGGCTTAAATCAGATTCTCATCAATCTATTATTTCATACTGATTTTTGGCAATGGTCCCGCAACCAATGATTTATACAATACAAAACAAGCATTAAAATTTTTAGGTGAATTAACCCCATCCACAACTGTTTTTTTTTCTTTCCTCAGCCTTGGAAAACCTGGATATATGAGGCGGCCTAGTTTAAAAAACAAAGTGATTTCTAGCAGGGCTGCACGATATATCGTTTCAGCATCGTTATCGCGATGTGCGCATCCGCGATAGTCACATCGCAGGACATGCGATGTTTAGTATACTGATCGTTATTATTTATACTGATCGTTTTCTTTGCTCACACACAGACACCGTCAGCTAGGGCTGTGCAATTAATCGAAAAACAGTTTTGATTTCGATCTCCAACGATTATGAAAATACAGTAATCGAGATAAAACGATTATTGCGGCCCATTCCTTTTACAGCGCTATGCTTTCGTTCCTCCATAAAAGCCCAATTTCACGTGCAAATCAGTAAAATCATGTAACGTGACTTTTGCAAAATGGGACGTGCTTGATTTATAGAAGTGTATTTATTCATGTTTTTAAAAGCGTGAAAGAGAACTCGCGCTGCTCCTCAGGAAGATATATGCGCTCAGAGACGGAACTGAACACGGACATGTAAAGTCATCTTTTAGCTCAAGGTGCGCGCCTAAATATTCAAATACATGCAAAAATGTGTCAAAATTAAGCGCTTAGAGATTATTCATGTATACCTTTGTCGGTCATGTATTAAATGAACATAAAGAGTTGATAATGAAAATACGCGCAAAACGGTAAATTGAATCCGTGTGGCTCTTAAAGTGACAGCGGGCTATATTCCTGCTGCGACTGTGTGCTTAATATTAATCAAACAACAAAAGACAAATTCAAAATCACACACTGCTCTTGAGTGAAGGACTTTTGTAGCTTTAATAAGAAACAAAACAAGTTTAATTCTTACAGTCAAGACTATGTTTTATTTTACATTTGATTATTAATTTCTGTAGTAGGCTGTAAACTGCTTGAGACTTGCATAAAAAAGTGAGTAACCTCACAGTTTGTTTCATTTGTATCTTTTTATTCTATTGTATTTGTCCTTTGCTTTTTTATTACTGACAGTTTAATTATTTTCAATAATTTTGAGGACTTTTTGTTTGTTTGAAATTTCGCTGGTCTCTACAATGTAGATGTCATAGCAACCTTATTTACAGGAAATATACATTTGATATATATCACTATCTTTAAATAAATCACTCATATAAAGTTTTGGTCATATGGCCCACTCATAATCGCGTTAAATAATCGTGATTACAATATTGACCAAAATAATCGTGATTATGATTTTTGCCATAATTGAGCAGCCCTACCATCAGCTGTCGTGTCTGTAGCGTCTGTCTACACTGGACGCGACAAAGCATTGCAAATCATTTGAACTTTGTGTCAGTACGTCATAAATAGAACGAGGCATCAGTTTACTGTCGGGATTTGTCGTGTCGCGCCGTGCCGCATCCAGTGTAGACAGCGTCACTGATTATAATGAGTCCTTCTGTATTTTGTCGCGTCGGTGAGAGCCACACAGATGCACGTGAACACTGAATTCCGTTCACTTCCGCGTCTATTTGTGCCTGTAATGACACATACGTGCAAAATTATGTCAAAATGCATGTCTCTGCAAGTATCCTTGTAAACGCAGTTGGTTATGGCTTAGGTGAAGGTAAACAACTTTCTGTGTCATGAATGTTTACGAAACCTTTAACCAAAACAATAAATGAAATAAAATAAAAGTAAAATAAAGTAAAATATTAAAACAAAACAAAATATCTATTTTTTTTTTATTTCAACTAGTTTCCAAGGCAATACTTCTAATTTTTCATTTAGTTTAACTTGCAGTACTAACATAATTCAAACTAAAACTGAAATAAAAAACAATAAAAAATAGCTAATAAAAAATAGCCAATAAAAATGACAAAGACAGCAAAATTGCTAAAGTTTTAAGTAAAATTAAAATGAAAATCTGGAAATACAAAAAATAAAAACTAAATATTCAAATCTTAAAATATTTAGAAAACATTATCATAATTATACTCTTTATAAAAAATGCCCATGCCGTTTTAAGATTTTATTAATTTACATGACTTTTCCAGTACTAGAAATCATCTTTTTTCATTTTTATTAGGCTGCCTCATGTTTTCCAAGACAAATAAAGTTGGCTGTTAAGAGGGTTAATTCACAAAAAGTATTTTTTATTTTTAGCTGTTTTAGCTTATTTTAATTCTTGTATTTTATTATTATAAATCATTGGTTGAGGAAATCTGCCATAAAATCTTTGTTTTTTGTCTTCGTTGTCTTTTATTATACTGGCTTTGTATTTTTTGGTTAGTTTTTTTTACTGTCTGTACTTTTTGTGTGTATCTTTTAACTTTATAATTTTCATATGTATGTAAAGCGCTTATGCTACTTTTAAAGGCGCTATATAAAATAACGTTTATTATTATTATTATGAAATGATAGGTTGAGAACTTTATAGACATATTAAATAAATAAAAAACTAATAAAAATGATAAACAACAAAAATTGCTAAAACTTTAACTAAAAGCGAAATGATGACGGAAAATACAAAAAT